TGAGAAAGGCCACTTTTTACTAGAAAACTCTGCTGTTATGTATTTTAAAACTAAATATCCACAATAAGCATTTCAAATAGTATTTTTGTACAGCATTTTATATGAATTAGAAATTATTTTTTTTACCTGCAATATGCTCTTTAAAATAAAATCCTCTTCATTTCCAGTCGACAAACCATGGGTGCTCTGTTTTTAAACATTCTTATCTGTTTGGTGTTTGCAGCCACTTATTACAAGCAGACATTTACTACCAATTATTATTTTTTGACCACCAAAAGACAGACTTGTCTAGGGATGTACAAATACAGATGATTCACCTTTGGACTCAATACACTTGAATGTAGCCACCCAACACCACACCTCATCAGCATTAGGTAAAAGACAGCGAACACAGTTGACTTTGCAGATTTTGAGCTAAAATGTGGTGTAACAGTAGCTGATATTCACAGCATAGTCTCAGAACACCTAAAATACGTAGAAGATCTTTGGCATTAATGTATTTGTCTTTTAGCAGACCACTGTATGGATTTTAATGAAACTCTTGAAGTAGTTATTGAAGGTATATGCACAACCTGTCAATCGTTGGTTACAACCCAGTTCACGTAAGCTGCCAAGATAACTGAATGTAGTGAAAAAATGGCTATAACTAAGTCATTTTTATAAATACTGAGCTAATGTGGTACAGACTAACTTGCAACACTAGTGTCAACATAAAATTCATCATCGAAATAGGCTTTATATTTTTTTATATTTTCACATCTTATAGATTTGTTGATCTTTCATAGGCAATATTTTGATGAGTTGTTTTAAAATGTTGACTATTTGACAGAGGTGTGGACACGAGTCACATGACTTGGACTCAAGTCATTATTTTCACGACTTCTGACTTGACTTGATAAAATATTTAAAGACTTATGACTTGACTCGGACTTGAATGCCAATGACTTGCGACTTGAATTGACTTGCATCTGTTGACTTGAGCATACCGGTATTTGATATTTTAGCACAAAAGTGGCCCGACATGGACAAAATCCATAAATCATTCTTTGTTCTGGGTTTGATTTACTGCTAAATGCAGCAGCACTTTGTTTATAATCAGTTAGCACTTTCTGCTTGTTTGAGCAAAGAAATGAAGCTTTGAGAAGTTTATTTCTGGAATTTATTTATTATTATTGTCATTAAATTGAAGTTGGACAGATGAGTTGATTATGACTTGAAAATTCAAAGTTAAGGAATTGGACTTGAGTTGGACTTCCACATCAATTACTTTGGACTCGACTTGGACTTGGTTGTCTTTGACTTGGACTTGACTGGAAATACTTGTGACTTACAAAGCAGTGACTTGGTCACACCTCTGCTGTTTGATAAAAATTGAATTGACATTATTCGAAGTTGGTAAAAACGTGTAGAACACGCGTGTGTCCAGAAGAGGGCGCTGCTGTTTTTGTTTGAAACATCGGTGCAGTTTTGTTTTTCTAAATTGTTAAAGCAGTTAGAAAACCAAATTTCATTTTCACGAAAGAAAATAAAACATTTTTTAAATTAAATTAATAAGTTAAATCGCAGAATGCTCACTCAGCCGGAGCCAGGTATGTCGTTTGGTAACGGTGAAGCGCGCGAGGACAGCCAGCCTGCAGGACCTGCGCGCTCACGAGTCACGACAGACCACGGGAGCGCGCGGCGCGGTGTCACCTGTTACTACGCACTCCGGTCCGGTCCAGCGTCCCGGTTCTGTTACCGCTGTCGAAGCGGCGCTTTATTCCGCCGTTGCTGGTTCCGAGGACGGACGGTGCCCCGGAGGCGCTTTAACGGGGTAAGAACACATCAGCGCGAGCTGATAAACTACCGGCGTCACTACAGCAAACTTTACACACGGTGCGGGCCGTGCGGCTTATCTGCTGCTTCAATCGGAACCGCTGAAAATAAAACTTTATCATTCAGTGAAGGTCAAACCGTGTTCAGAAGGCTTGAATGTGGGTTTTGTTTGTTGTCCTCCGCGGGGCTCGTGTTGTTTCCTTGTGCTTTGCTAGTGTAGGACCGTTTCGGGCTAACAGTGATTGGTTACAGAAAAAAAAAACGACCAAAAAGAAGTTGTCGCTGGTTTTCTCCTGGATTTTCGGCGTGCTTTGACGACATTTATTTTTTCGGAATCAAACTGAAATCCGACTCATTTCCTTCCATCTTTTGAGCCTGCTCTTTGGAAGCTGCTGTATTATTTTTGTTAACGAGTCTCATTTATGCTCCATCTTTGTCTTTGTGGGTGAGTGATTTCTCGTTGTTTTAAATGAGTTTAAGCTGCTTTTCAGGTTGGAAAGTGGCTTTTCTGTTACAAATACTGGATATTTTCTCCAACTGGAACCTCAACTTAACTTAAACCTGGAATGCTTTAGCAGAAAAACTCACTACATGACCACCCAGATGAGTTGAAAGCTCGTATTTTTATTTTGGGAGTTTGACTGTGTCCTCTGAGTATGCCTCTGACCTGGGATGATGCACCATGCTGAGACGTCCCCTCTAAATCTGTGTCCACAGCTAGGATCTCATGTGTAATAGGAAGAGCCAGACATGGCGTCCTTCATAAAGCCCCAGTTGTTCAGACACTGTTGGGCATGATCTGCTTCTAAGGTCAGACCCTGGCCATCGTCTTGATCAGTCTGTTGTGGGAATATTTACTCTGAAAGAGCAATGTTCAAATAAAAACTGCTGCTGTAGAAAGTGTTTTAGTTTGTTCACTTTCGTGTCGTTTGAGCAGAACTAATGACATTAATGGGTAAGTTAGGTTGTACCTATTTGTTTATGTTACACAAGTTATTTCTGTTACCTACAGAGAACTGAAGCAACCTGGTATGGTCCCACCCAAAATGCCTCGCAGGTCGTGTGTGTGCGCGCGTGCATGCGCTTTAAAGTGGCCGGGCCACAGCTTTAGTGTTTGCACCTGCCAGCTGATGTCTGAATACCAAGACTAATATAGCTTTGCCCACTTAACCACACAAACACGAATGCACACACTGACACACGTTCATACAAAGTTGGTGCACCTTTGCTGTTTTACATTTTGTGAAATTGGAATCTACAGAAAATTGTTAACAGCAAATTAAGCAACATAAAGAGGAGGTTCACTGGGAAATCATTTTTTACTTAATTTTGAAAATGATTGGTCACTCTGGGTTTAACCGTCAGGCAGAATGTGAAAATAGTCTCCTACACCTATCTCCTGCATTAGTTTCTGATAGAAAGTAGACTGTGACACAAGTGTTGTAGTCCTCTAGACCAGTCCCGGTCTCTAGACCAGTCATGAGGCCATATTTTTATTGGGCTGCCACTAACGACTAATTTCATTTCGATTATTTACCGACTAATTGATTAGTTGTGTTTAAGAAAAAAAAAACAATTTAGTTTCAGCTCATTTTATTTTCAGCAAACTTAAAACATTTATTTCTCAAAACATTCATTTATGGAAGTAAACCAGTGCAACAGGTTACCTAGATGTGTCATCAGTAGGGTTGTCACTGTGTGAAAATTGAACCTCACGGTTATTGTGACCAAAATTATCACGTTTTTCGGTATTATCGCGGTATTTTTTTTAAACGTGTCACATTTTCAGATAACTAAATAAACCCTGTATACCAGGAAATATTGTCCTCAGTTTGTGTCTAAATTTTGCCTAAAATGTGTTATTTTGTAATTATGTTGTTTATTTGTTTACATTTTTCCCTTTAGACTTTAAAATACCAATATTTGCCCATAACTTCTTATTTTATGTCTGTTTGATGTCATCATTTTAAAAATATTAGGTCAGATGATACTCAGTACTCAAGTAGCCTTCTAATCAGATACTTTTTTTTACCCTTACTTGAGTAATAAACCCTATATCAGGAAAATATTGTCCTCGGTTTGTGTCCTTCCAGTGAGTTTTGCAGATTTGGGAAAATTTCATAAATTTATAATTATTCTCGGAGAGAGACCAACTCTTATCTGCCCCTGGGAGCCCCGTAATGCATAGCATAATTTCAACATGGGGGTGTCCGCGACACGGTTTATATGCAGGTAGCGGCGCTGCGGCTGCTTTATATAGCGACTCGTTGCATTCTCCCTCAACCCAAATCCTGGGATCACGCATTTTAGCTAAAACGCTAACGTTAGCTTGCCTTGCGTTGACTGTAGAGTTGTGGGAGATGGTCACGTAGATGTGTCATGAGATTTGAAGCATTGCTGCCTTTCACAGACACTTTTTCTGCTCGTGCTGCAAACAGGATAGCCGTCTTCTATCAATTGTCCCTCGGCATTCTTCAAATATCCAAAAGGTGCCCGTACCTCCCACTTTGTCTTCTTTGAGGGATAATAAATGTCCTCCTGAGCACTGCCGCCTCCTCCTTTGTCCATTATTTCAGCTTTAGCTTCAAGAAAGTTTTGGTTGTAAACACCAAAGCGTGCATGTACCGCCGGCAACTTCAGCAGATGATACGGTGGCTGATAAGGGTCACCGCGCCTACACCACAGCCACGGTAACCCACCGAGATAATATAGTTTTTTTAAAACAAGATGGTTATTCTTATTGTCAACATTTTTTACCGGGGTTTACCGTCACACGCCAGACGACATCAACACTGCATACTTTAGTATTTGTTCATTTATCGTGAGTAATATCGATATCGCAATATTAAGCACTGTTATCGAATATCGCAGGTTTTCCTAATATCATGCAGCCCTAGTTTTATACAACAATCAGTTATATATGGATTTTTGCCAGCTATGTCTCATACTTAAAGGGATATTCCACCCCTAAGTACAATTGTGTCTGTCATGTTACCCAGAGTTAGATAAGTGATAAAAAGCATTTTGTAACCAGCCCTGTCATTCTACTGATCTACAAAAGGCTTGTTGTTCCCATTCGCTTACATTTTTTAAGCTAAACTAAAGCCAACTGACTGTTGCCAGATTAGGAGAATGACTGGGCTGATTACAAAATGTTTTTTTATCACTTATCTAACTCTGGGTAACATGACAGACACAATTGTACTTAGGGGTGGAATATCCCTTTGAGATACATCTAGTTCATGAAGTAACAATTTGAACCCTGACACGTGCAAATTTGATTTCAAAATATTTATTCTTAAACAGGAGACAACTTTACTCTCAGAATGAATTCAAATAGGCTACATTACTTCTGTAATGAGAAGGCACATTGGAAATGAAAAGAATTGTTGTTTTTATGCAATATGAAAATAAAGTTGACACTGGCTTCTAGTTCTTATTATATAGGCAGCCTTAAGAACAGAAGTTGTACAGAAAATGTAAATATGTATTTACATCGCAGTAAATGCCCACTGACGGGCCTTTTTGTTTGCAAAGTCACTTACGATATCAGAAAAGTTAACTTGTTTGGCTAGTTGGCTTTCTATTGATAGAATGGCAAGGCTGTTCAGTCTGTCCTGGGCCATTGTTGATCTCAGGTAGTTTTTAACCAGCTTCAACTTGCTGAAAGCCCGTTCACCCCCAGCAACTGTTACTGGGAGAGAGCAGAAAATTCTCAAAGCAATACAAAGCAAATCATCTTTGCTCATCACTCATTCCCTCACCTTCAGACGAACCAGCAGGACTAGCCGCTTCCTCTGCTGCTGCAGCGCCGGCTCTTGTCCCTGCATTAGATTCCCCAGCATTGCAGTGTGTTCCTGAAACTGTTAAGACCAGCTGTTTCATTTCTGAAATATTGGAGAATGAATGAAGTTCTGTTTGATGCAGAAAATAATAAAACATAACACAAATTCTACACTTCCAATAATATTTAAGATGTGTGTTTTATTCTTTCTGATAACACCAGCAGAAGGCTGTGGGTTGGATTAGGATTAAATTACCCAGCTGATGGATCTCTTTCACTAACCAGCTAACTACAAACCTTTCCACTAACCTGTCCTGTGTAACCCTCACCATGTGACCCTCATGTCCATGCTGTCTCTGGAGGAGCAGATAGGAGACAAGACCTCCTGTAACTTACAATGAACCAAAGCTTCCTCCCAGCTTCTCTTTACACTGACTTTAACATCAGTTCTTCATCATGAAACAAAAGAATAAAGTGGAACAAGAACTTCTATCTTCTATTTCTCTCTCCTTTTAACTTCTCCGTGTCACTAAATAAAAGAGACGGATGATCACGCTGCAGCCGCCGTCATTGACCCCGCCCCCTCCCCAAGACCGGATCTCCCAGCATCACAATACTTGGTCTGACTGAACGCTTCCAGGAGAAACAATAATTAAATTATGAAAATAATAATGCGTGTTTGGAGCATCGGTTTGGAGGAGCGTCCTCCGATCCTCCAAACCGATGCTCCAATATCGATCCTCTCTCTGGTGTGAGCAGACAGTGTCTCTCTCTCTCTCTCTCTCTCTCTCTCAGTTGCTGTGCAAGCAAGCGGAGCGCGCCGCATGACAACCCGCTCAGTTAACATAATTCACGGCCCAAATCCAACAGAACCAGTCGTGCTGATTCGGTTCCAGTACGGTCTCCGGTTACAATTCTAGCGCTCAGCCCTGCAGTACCACACTAAGGCGGAACCACTTGGTAAATGCGGAGGACACTCACTCTGACAGATTTGGATGCTGCGCTGGTGCCGCCGTTAAAAAAACAAAACTACATTCCACTATAATCGATTATGGCGTACTTTTCTACGATGCAGAATCGTTTATGTCCGCATCCCGATGCATCGATTATTTGATTATTTTCCTCAGCTCCAGTACATAGTTGGCTCCAATTGTGTTCCTTGCATCTTTGACTAATGCTTAAAAGGACCTGTGCCCTGCCATTTTACATCTTCCAGAGCAACCAAAGGCACAGTATAGGACTAAATGTTACCATTGGCGCTATTGAACAACTGTTCATAAATGTCGAGAGGAAATCATTTTATTTCCATTCATCTCTGCATAAAGTATTTTCAATTGTTTTAAATGTTGATAGAACTTCTGTAAAACCACCAGTTACTGTACAGATCTGCAGAATGAAAGCATCATAACTGAAAAGTACTTTAGTGTGTCTGGTTGCAGTTTCCTAGATTATCCCCTCATGCAGATCTGATGGAACCAGCTGCCATTTATGGAACGGGCAGGAAAAATAATTCATACAAGCTTTTTCCCTCCTGTTCTAAAATAAAATGTTTTATTTTATTTTAATTACCTTAAAAGACTCAAAGTCTCTTTTTACACTTTATATTTATTTAATCAGGATCGTTGTCAAGTCGACGCCAGAAACAATGAAACACAACTTGAATATCAGATGAACAACAAGGCTTTATTCAACCGGCATTCATACAAGTTATCAATCATGAACAAAACATTTCTCTTACCGTTGCTTATGGGTGGAGAGCTGAACACCCCAGTTAGAAAACGTAATCCATGAACCTCGTCAGGTAGAATCCAACAAGCAGCTCTAACAGCTCTGAGCTCTGCTCTGCTCCTTATACATTCCCTGATGTGCGTGCAAAGCTGCACACCTCCACCAGGATTACCTTGATTACATCCTCATGATCACATTATGTTCGGCTCTCCTTGATTACATCCTCATGATAAGTGTGATTGACAAACAGTAGTGATCAATAACTTGTATAAAGCAATTATACAACAGATGACAAGTTCATTTTTATTACATTCCACTCTTGAACTTTTCATCTAATTTATGTAACATATCCATCACCATTTCCCCATCAAAACCAACGTCATTTATAACATACCTTGTAGTTCCACTTTAATTTTCATCGTAGTCTTTGCATTATTACCCAATTTATTTCTCTTCTTAATCGAATAACATACCAACAAATAATAAGATTACACAATGTTAGAATGCTGATTATAATTAATGCTGCAATCATAGGTGGAATTAGCACTTTATTAGCGGTACTCGACATGCCTGTAAATATATCCCACCAATGGTGAGCGGAAGCCTGTTCAATCAATGTAGCAACATGTTTTATTTCCCCTTGTGTCACAAGAGTAGACACCATGAGCCTGGAAAGGTTGGACCTATGAGAGTCAATCAATTTTGCCACTTCAGTGGAACCATCCAATGCGCATTTGAATCGTTCCAGTGAGAGTGTCCAAGGGGAGTGTAAAACCTCCCATTGTATCTTAGTCAGCCGACTAGATACAGTGTAATTACTCAACCAATAGGTCACGTTATTCCATTCCCACATATGTATACCCTTGAGACAACCTGAAAAGGGAACTGAAGGTACCTGTGGGGAATTGGTCATTGTAGCCACGCATAAGGTGTTAGGACCCACCTGCCAAAACTGTTCCTCTGGGGGTGTGACCGTCCAATCACAGAGTACGACCCTTGAATCAGTGAAACATGGATTGCTATGTCCTTTTACCAATGGGCAGGCTAAACCCTTATCAGTCTCATCACAGTGTTTTACTTCATATGTTCGATTTGTTTTAACATCCCACCACTCTCCACTAACATGGAGATACCAAAACCCTTTAGTGGTTATCACCGGCAGTATCTGATATCTACACACAGTCATTACTGATGTCATATTATACTGATCCCAGTATCCAGTACACATAGATTTATTACAAATCGTCATTTCTGCATGTAGCTGTAGCCATAATGAACTACTGATGTTCCATAATGTTCGCCATGCATGATAGTTATTACTCATTACCTGTATTTGAAACCTATTTCTCTGTGTCTCAGCATGAATAGTCTGCAAGGAACAGACTGTCCAATTACCTATGTGTGACAAATTATGCAATGCATCATAAGTTTCATTCCAAAGCTTTAGATTCCATTTAAATACACTTTTCCACACATCACTTCCTTCTAACTGACTAGATACAGTCGAAGGCATCCATCTTGCAGTCTTGGTGACAGCTTGTGCGGTGTATTCTCCAGTGTTGGACAGCATAGTTCGTGTCACCTCATTGTCTGCTGTGTTAGCCAGACCATACAAAGTTCCAGTTCCTCCTAGCACGGTGTCATACCATGCTCGCCTCCTCCTGTTACAAGGCGGAATAGGAGGGAATTTCACAGTCCATCGCACATATTCGGCTACCCTTATTTGTCCCATTTGTTGACAAGTGTGAACCAGGGGAGCTACAGCTGTCTGCGTAGCTCTAGCTGTGTCGGGCAGCACCCAGAATATGTACAAATAGGCGTATCCTCCTGTGATTACAGTTCCATTCCTGATCCGGAAATCGCGATCAACCTTCATACTCCAATTTGTGCCATTTTGTATGCAAGTACCATTCCCCTGATGGTATGCACAGATGCGCGCTGCAGAATTAAAGGTTACTGTTGATCCTTGAACCAACACCCCCGGGCTGATCACCCTTCCTCGGATTTTAAGACATCCTCTGCACCGGTACATCTTACCGGTAGATGTTAGGTTTCCCAAGTAGCAAGCGTCATTTGCTCTGCATGTGAATGTGCCTTGAGTGCGGTTGGACATCTTCCAACACTTGTCCTTCCGTGAGCCCCCAACAGAAATGTGCCCTCAGTGCGATGACAGCGAGGACATGGAGGACGATGACCAAACATCCGACACCACCAGGTCCGCGGAGCCCATCCATCGCCTCGACAAGGGTTCAATCCTTTTGTAGGGGAAGGGGACCCAGTCAACCACCGTCACTCAGACACCCGCCTATGGGATACATACAAAACTGCAGATAGAATGACAAGCATTAATTTTCTCTCCTGTAACATTTGTTTATCGGAATATTAATCCATTTTTCCTCTCCGGGGAACAATACACTTACCACAGCATCTTTTCCCTGTGCAATAATCTCTCCAGCTCTGGGAGGACCATTGAGCTGCTCCACCCACACTTTTGCCCCCGCAGTAAAGTCTGATGATCCAAACCCAGTTTCACCCCTCTGAGTGATAGTGGTAGGTTTAGTAATCTCTTCAACTTTGGACATTACACACCGTTTGATTACTAACTGAGCTATCTTGTCTCCTTTTTCCAGTACCAACGGTTCTTTACCTGTATGCTGACACACCACACCTATTTCCCCTTGATAGTCTGAGTCTATTACCCCAGCTAAAATGGTTAGACCCCTCAAAGCTAAACCACTTCTTGGACACACATGAGCATAAGTTCCTGGTGGACATTGAATTCCCAATCCTGTTTTTACCACTGTCACTTTATTGGTTACTAAAGTGATGCTTTCCAAGATTTTAAGATCTAATCCCACAGAGCCCGCAGTTGCTCTAACAGGGAGTTCTGCCTCAGAAGTTAGTTTCCACATTCGTATAGGAGGGTCAGTAGAAGTTGTTTCCCTTCCTGCCCTGGCAACCATTAGCATCAGTGGAGTAACTCCATCCCCCACGGGTCTGTTATTTAACTGATGTACTGCCCTAGTCAGATTTTCTCTCCATTTATCCAAAGAATTAGTAACCGATAGTTTCCTTAGTTTCTCTTTCAGTAACCCATTCATTCTCTCAATGAGTCCACTAGCTTTCGGGTGATATGCTACATGATAGATCCATTCTACCGCGTTGTTCTCTGCCCATTCTTTGATCTTATTTCCAGTGAAATGGGTACCATTATCAGTCTGAACCTGCAAAGGTAGTCCATAATAGGTCTCTATTAATGACAGACATTTCAATGTAGCCTCCTGATTGGCGTTATGACACGGATGCACCACCAGTACCCCTGACACCGTATCCACGGCTGTGCATGCATACTTACAGTTTTTACTTTTTGGCAATGGTCCAATGAAATCAATCTGCCAACACTGTCCCGCTTGTTTACCTCGATGTATCTGTCCCTGTATATGTCGAGGGATTCTCTTTTTCTGATGTTGACAAGGTTCACAATCTTCTATGGCAGTTTTAATATCATCAATGATGAGATCTATTCCTCTGTCCCTCGCCCATTTCAATGTTCCCTGCACACCCCAATGTCCAGCAGTAACGTGAGCCCATTTGGCTAATCCAGGACTTGATTGTCTTACAGCCTGAATTTTCACTATCTTATCTACAGTCTGATTATGCAGGGATTCAGGATCATTGTTATTAGTATGAGCATCCACATGTAATACTGACACAGGAATATTTTGGCATTTCTCCCAAATGTCCTTCCATAGGTCAGCTCCCCAAACCTCTTTTGAATGTATCTTCCATTGTGTAGCATGCCAAGTTGGCATCCAAGTTAACATTCCTTGGGCTACTGACCAGGAGTCAGTATAAATACTTACTCCCTGCACCCCAGCCGCCATTATTACCATGTGTACTGCTTTCAACTCCGCCCATTGACTACTCTTTCCTGTCCCTGTGAGTTCCATAACTTGTTGTGTACCAGGGTTAAATGCCCCAGCCTTCCATTTCCTGGTTCCTGCCACATATTGACAGGAACCATCAGTGAACCAGGCTCGCTCCTGCTGCTCTGGGGTGAGTTCGCTCCATCTTACCCCCAGTTTCACAGGAGAATCCTGGATTGGTTTTACCTCAAAAGGCACTTCATCCATTTCTGGAACGTCTGCCACTTGCTCGTGGAGCATTGATACTCCTTTTTCTACAATGTTTCCCTTTATTTTATCAGGATTGCCATGAATTACCGAGGCCTCCGCCCCAGTGTCAACCAATGCCATTACTGTCTGTACTGATTTTTTCCAATAAATCTGTAATTCCACATGTGGTCTGATATCATTTACTGACCATCCTGAGGCACTGGCAACAACCCGAGCTTGACCTTCATCCTATTCATCATCATGTTCCCTTCGGTGCTGTTTTTTCTTTCTACGCTTCACTGCCGCCACCTGATAACACTCATCTGAACTCTCCTCCTCTGAAGATTCCTTGGGAGGGGCGGAAGGTTCAGCAGGCTTCGACGCCACCTCCCTGATCACATTCTGCAAAATTCCAACCAATTCTGACACAGACATCCTGTCGTCCTTTTCAGGACAATGTCTGAACTGACAATGGACCTTCAGTCCCATTTGGCTGCATTTCTCCATCAATGCATTAGTGGGCAATCCATCAATCTCCTCAAACGGCACTCCCGCTTGTCGCAGTGCCCTCCACAGATCTGTTCTAGAGGGGCCCATTGCCCCCCCTTTACGACCCCTTGAATGTGGATCAATCCTGGGTTTATTTTCAGTTCTAGCTCCCTCTCTCCTCGTCTCAGACCAATCACCCAGCGTGGTGAGTTCGCCAAGACGATCTTTTATCGCGGCAAAAGTCTGGTCTGCCGCGCCAAACAACAAGCTGGTCACCATGGGTTTATAATGTGGTGGGGCATGTCTGATGAGGTGGTCTCTAGTTGCCTTAGAGATGTTACAGTCCACCACTCCAGCTCCCCCGTTTCGAGCCACTTGCTCTCTAATAGTGAGTCTGGTGAGCCGCTGAATGGCATCTCTCACTGTCTGCCATTGCCCTTTAATCTCAGACCAGTCCGCCGTGGTAGGATAGATTACATGACATGCCAGAGCATATGCATCCCCCACATTGAAATCTTCATCAGCTGGCAATGCCCGGACTGTAGCCCGGTATTCAGCATTTATCTGTGCATCAGTACTTAATCCTGAAAATCTCATGGCATCACCGGCATCTATGGCTATATCACACGCGCCATCCTCCATAAGGCGATTAAGCCAGGAGTCAGTTGGTTCGCCTGGGCGCTGTTTCAGCTTCCCATTCATGTGATTTAACTCATCTTGTGAATAATCCTCTAGCGTTGTTAGCAGCCTAGGGGCGGGTTGTGGCTGCTGTTGTAACATCCTTCTTATATTACCCGCCTCATCGAGTTCCGGCCGTCCCTGATCATCCACCATATCTACCAGTATTGGTGGAATAATTTGCTGTTCTCGCCGACGCCTAGTAATAGGTCTTTGTTCTGACATCTTTATCCCCTGTAATGATGGATACAAGGGCTGAGGTGGTGGGTCAGGTTTAATCGCCCACTCCTCCTCCTCATCATCCCCCCAAAGATCCCCGTTCCATTTCTCTGGGTTCCAATCTTCACCAACATTCTTTACAAACGCCCGGATCTGAGCAGGACCTGCTCTACGAGGTCGCTTCTTTTCCTTCCTTTGCGCTCGAGACACAAAAGTCAGCGTTTTATCCAAAACATTCTGAGCATGCTTTAGCTCTTTCCCCATCACACACACTCTCTGCTCAAACTCTGAGCATGATTTTTCAACTTCTTCAGCATGGATTTTCTCCTGCGCCGCTCGCTCTCTACAACTGCTCAATTCTAACTCCTGTTTTTTCCATGCTTCTGCAAAAAGCCACATCATATCTCTCACTCCTGCCAGCGGCGCTTTTTTTTTAACTTCTATCCGCGTCAAACGGTCCAGCACCACGGCGGGGCTGACCACTCCATTTAACTCTCCCCACGGCCCAGGGCGTCCACCGCGCTGCCTTAACATATCACCAATGGATCGGAACTCCTCCGTTTCCCAGCCGGGAATCGGCACGGGAATCGGCGTTCCCTCCCCAGAAGCACTCGGCTCCTTTTTGCTTCTCCAAAAACACTTCATTGTTGCTGGAATAGCTTGACTGATCCTGTTCGTGACGCCAAAAATGTTCTAAAATAAAATGTTTTATTTTATTTTAATTACCTTAAAAGACTCAAAGTCTCTTTTTACACTTTATATTTATTTAATCAGGATCGTTGTCAAGTCGACGCCAGAAACAATGAAACACAACTTGAATATCAGATGAACAACAAGGCTTTATTCAACCGGCATTCATACAAGTTATCAATCATGAACAAAACATTTCTCTTACCGTTGCTTATGGGTGGAGAGCTGAACACCCCAGTTAGAAAACGTAATCCATGAACCTCGTCAGGTAGAATCCAACAAGCAGCTCTAACAGCTCTGAGCTCTGCTCTGCTCCTTATACATTCCCTGATGTGCGTGCAAAGCTGCACACCTCCACCAGGATTACCTTGATTACATCCTCATGATCACATTATGTTCGGCTCTCCTTGATTACATCCTCATGATAAGTGTGATTGACAAACAGTAGTGATCAATAACTTGTATAAAGCAATTATACAACAGATGACAAGTTCATTTTTATTACACCTCCGTAATGTTGCTTTAAGTTAGATGGTTTTATTAATATTATGGAATATTTCACTTTCAATGTTGAAGTTGATGCAAAGGCTAACTCTTAGTTTGTTGGTAAACGTTAAAACGTGAAGTTCAGACTCTGGCCTACGTTGTTGTGCCCTAGGAGAACAGAACCAGGAGGCCGCAGAACCACCCTGAGCATGTGTGCATGAGAGAGGGCAACTGCTCCAGTCATTATGCTCCTGCACTGCCCAGAATGTGGAGTCGTCTTGGCAACAGCATTCTTTCCTAGTTAAAAAGTAGAGAAGCAGACATACGGTGTATTACAGGAGGAAAGCGGCTGACTGGGCTCAGGTCAGAGCAGATCCGCAGATATCTGGTATGGTCATTAGTTGGTCCACACTTATAGGGGCAGTAAAGCATTGTGGGAAGTTGGTTTCATCAGTACTAATATGAACATTTAGCCTGGGTCACTAAGTGGAGGTCTGTTTACAAATGCATTGATGTTTAAGGTACAACAAGCATTTTTTCTGTAGTTAAAAGTTCATCTTTTTAGTTTTACATGAGCAGAATTCTTTATCTTAGTTCTTTGTGTTTTCTTCTTCAGGATCAAACCTGTTATGCATCATTAGTTATCAGGCCTAGGTACCCAAACTCTGTTCCTCTTTAGGACTGATCTAAAGCATTCAGTAGGTACTGGTACTGCACTAAATGTTTGGCACTTTCCCAATAAGACATCACTGTTGATGAGTCTCAGAGCTGCTGCAGGTCATGTGACACGGTTTGTTCCATCACTTCTCCAGGTTTGTAAGGTAATGGTGAAAAATCCAAGTTAACATTACAAACACGTGTTGAGCAAAAGTATGATGGAGTTTAGCCAGTGACTGTTTTCTGTATGAACTGGTACCAGTGTAACATCCTGCAGGAGTGGACTATCACCCAGTTGACTCAAGATCACAGTGAGGGTGTTGAAAGAGGCAAATAGCAGAGGGATGAGAGACGTCAAGTTCTGGAGTTTTCAGAGGCAATCCTATAGATGATTTTATTGATTAAAAAATATAAAGTCCTTAATGTAAAACGATCAGATTCAAGACTTTTTTAACCACATGATTTTAAAGAGCAAGTCAACCCCAAATCAACTTTATTTTTCTGATAAACTATATAAATGCATGTCTAATCGTGCTGCAGACGCATGTAGTCTATAGTTTAGCACTTTAGTGCATTTTATTTAAAATTTTAATTTTCTGCCTAAAACTGTCAGTGTTGTGCCGTTGTCGGGTAAAAACTCTGCACTGCATTTGAATTTAAATCTTCCATCGCTATTGGCTAAGAGGTACCCTAGAAAGTTAGCTGGTACCATATGATGTCACAATGTCATTGTGAGCCTGTGACTGTGTCTCAATTCAGGGTCTGCATCCTTCGTCGGCCGGTTACATCACAGCGCCGCTACTAGGCCTGTCAATACAAGCATTTTAACTGTAACATTTCTAACTAGAATAACGTTCATGTATCACAAAAAGCCCTTAACCTAACAGTTTTCAAGTTTATACTGACATTTATATGCGCAATCCTCTCCGACAGCTCCCGCTTCACTGTCCGCCATTGTTTTTAAAAGTTCTGCCATCCGGCCCGCAAGGCATCTTGGGAAATGTAAACCATTGAAGGATACACCAGACCCATCCTGCTTGCAGGCGAAAAGAAGGTCGGATTCGTCAACCGCATTTGAAGGAGTCTTCGAATTGGGACACGCCTAGTCGCGGCGCTGTGACGCAACCGGCCGACGAAGGATGCAGACCCTGAATTGAGACACAGCCTTGCTCTTTAAGGATGCTCAGTGGTCACATGTTCTGATTTTTATCCGACTAGTCAAACTTTGTACAGACGGCTGCTGCTGGAGCATCTGGTTCCCTCTAGACACATCTGCCTCACAGAACAGCAGATGTAGCTCCCTCAGTCGTCCTGCAGTAGAATCAAAAAGAACATGTGGAGACGATCTTAACTGTTTATGATTCCCATCTTTTCTAACATGTCTTGTCTGTCAGACTTCCTGAGCCCCAGCCAGCCAACCACTCCTCTGTGGAGACTTTGGGTCGCAGTGAGGAGGAGAGCGCCCTGAGTTCAGAGGATCAGGTATCAGAGGTAACTGTCCGAGTCTGCACACCCAGCAACCCTCCTCCACCCTCTCCACCACCCACACAGGCCCAGGAGGAAGCCCCAGCTCCCAGGCTCTTCACTCCGAGCAAGCTGAGCTTCACAGTAAGCATGTCTGATACAAACTGTGCTCTCGTCACAGAGAAACAGCTTCATCCTGGAACTTTAATAGATTTTTCTTGTTGTGATGTTCACTCTAGACCTCCCAGTCAGGAGGCAACATGAACCTGCCGGACTTGCCTACCCTCACCCCCAGCACCTTCCCCCCCAGTGCCTTCAACTACGAGAGACCCAGGCATTTCATCCAGTCGCAGCCGGCTTTCCAGGCACCCAGCTATGAGAGTGTTCTGAGGGAGGCCCAGGAGAACCAGAACCACCAACAGAGCCTGAACAGTCACAGTGTTGTAGATGCTCAGAGTCAAGTCACAAACACACAAACTCAGTCTGTGTCCAGGTCTGTGTCACACACTCAGTCACAGTTTCAGTTACTGAACATCAGTCAGAACCAGACCAAGTCAGTAACCAGCTCACAGATCCAGATCCAGAACCAGACCAACAAAACAGCCAAGTCCTCCCCATCTTCATCCAGCCTCAACTCTTCTTCCACCTCAGCATTTTCTACTCCTTCTCTGTCTTCTGCTGCTCCACTGCTCTCTCCATCTGCCCCTACTTCCTCCTCTTCCCTCCTGACTCCCACGACTTCATTGCCCCGTACAACCATGCGCTCCACCATCACCCTCACCCCCAGAGTTCCCAGTGCTACGGGCCTTGGCAGCGCCACCCTGCCAGCCAACCAAGACACCCTGTCAGCCTCAGCTGCTTACCTCTGCTCCGTGCTCCCCTCCCAGTCCCTGTCCTCCAAATTGTCACCAAACTCCAACGTCCCTCACACCTCCACCTCCCCCTCCTACTCCCCACTTGCACCCTCCAGCCCCCTTCTTCCAATAAGATCTTCCTCCCCTCCATTCTCCCAGCCAGTCTCCCCCCCTCTCCCTCACTCCCCTCTGTCTCCTCCCTCCTCTAACCTCCAGCAACCAGCCCCCTCCAACAATCAGAACAGGGTTCCTCCTGCTGTCGTCTCGCTGCCTGCCAACTACAAGGGGACGCCCAACACGTGAGTTTAGATGCTTGTTAATCGGAGTCGGACCCGTTTGTGTTGCTACTGGTCAGCTCCTCCAGCTGATTCTGGGACATTACACCAGACTAAGGAAATGACCAGGTGGTGTTTCGGATGCGAGAAAAACTCATTGGCACTGTATGATGGACTTATTAAAAGGGATATTCCCCCCAAAAATGAATTTTTGAGCGTTAACATATTCCCAGATCAGTGGGGAAAAAACACATTTTACCCAGCCCAGTCACTCTCCCGACCCAGCTTTACTCCTTTAGGTTTAGCTTAGCATAAAACACAGTAAGTGAATGGATCCAGCTAGCATTGTGAGAAAAAGTCCCTCAGTGGTGATCCCAATCCTGCTTGGTGACCTAAATACCAAGGTAACATAAAGGAATCACAGGCGCCTTTTTAGACTTGGAACTACTTTTTGACATAGCACTGCTGTAAGCCTCCGCTGGCAACCCAAAGACACCTGCTTCTTTGTATACACAGACGCATCGATTATTAGATTATTTTCCTCAGCTCTGGCCCACACATGCTTTGCTGTGAAGCATCTAGTGATCTTTTCCCACAATTCTATTTCCAAGCATCGATTCTCCTAAAAAAGACGTTTTTAGCATCGATGACTCTATTTGAACCTCCAGGCTCCCATAGGAACTCTTCTGCAGAGCTGATGCTCCCTGTGTTTTTCATGTGTTTTAACCACAAGCTCCCTTCCCACCTGGAACATTTCAGATGTGAAACAGCAGCGTAAGCGTTACACAGAGCTGGTCCTGTGAGGTCACCAAAGTATTGCAGGATCATTTGGATTTTGACAATTCGTGCGAGAACTAACAAGCATGCATCGGTCTGCGCTTTATTCTCTTTTCTGTTTACTTTGGCTGTGGGACTTTCACAGGCAATGACACTTTTTCTTTTCTTCTTGTTAAGCAACTGGAAATCTGCATGTGACTTTTATTTTGAAGGTTTACGGGTGTTTTAAACTGCACTCTAGTTTTACCTCCAATCTGGCTCGATTTGAACTGCAGAGCTTGAAGCATTCTGGAGGAGTAGTGCATAAATTTAGCAGAGCAATGCGTCCCAAACAGCTTTCTGAGTCCGGTGGAAGCGCAGCCGTCCACTACAACTGAGAATAATTTCGGTGTGCTGCGCTTCGTAGATGTTACGCAATGCGTACGCATCCGGGGGAAATGCCCGGTGAGGGTCTTTAGGTCAATCAAATGATTTTCACATAAGTTTTAATCACCACTAAGTGGCTCGACTCTGCCCCCTTCTGGTGTGACTTGGTGCAGTCTTGTTTATTTTTGGACATTATGGAAGCAGAAAACATCTGCTGTAAATCGTTGTGCTTTTGGGACAAAGATTAGTGTTGATTCTGAACTTACTCAGGGAGAACATAGTTCTCTCTCTCTCTCTCTCTCTCTCTCTCTCTCTCTCTCTCTCTCTCTCTCTCTCTCTCTCTCTCTCTCTCTCTCTCTCTCTCTCTCTCTCTCTCTCTCTCTCTCTCTCTCTCTCTCTCTCTCTCTCTCTCTCTCTCTCTCTCTCTCTCTCTCTCTCTCTATCTCTCTATCTCTCTCTCTCTCTCTCTCTCTCTCTCTCTCTCTCTCTCTCTCTCTCTCTCTCTCTCTCTCTCTATCTATCTATCTATCTATCTATCTATCTATCTATCTATCTATCTATCTCTCTCTCTCTCTCTCTCTCTATCTCTATCTATCTATGTATGTATGTAATTATTCAGGCGAGCCACTCTGCAGCACTAACCCTTGTCGCGAAGGTTTGTGAACCACTAACAGTTTTTACCTTAAAGCTAGGCTGTGTAAAGCATTTTAAAGCAAATCCACATGTGAAGCAGCACATCAGATTATTATGACCGGAGTAATAATCCCCTCCTCCTCCTAGGCTTCCAAAACCTATCCTGAAGAAGTCTGTTGCTCCTCGGCCCTCCTCCTCTCGCTCCACAGAGGAGGACATCCAAGGCTCAAAGGACGCCCTGATTCAGGACCTGGAGAAGAAACTCCGCTCCAAAGAAGCCAGGAGAAGACACGGTCAGGTATGACTGAGATAAACAGAGAAGAAAATAAAAAATGTTCTGGTTGAATTTTTTTTTATCATCTGGGGCAACAAAGGTTCTGATGTAATGTAAAAATGTGCAAATATTACAGCTGAACTGTGTCGAGAGTTTAGTTTAGCTGCTCCGCTGTGTTTTTCTGTATGATTTAAATAACTTAATGGACTTTTATTTTGACAGAAACTCTCCTACGAGGAGCGAATGGCTCGCAGGCTTTTGGGTCCAGACAATGCCACTTACATGTTTGACCAAGACAATCTGTCAGACTCACAACTTGATCAGGTAACAGGATTGGGGGGGTTAAACCACCAAATAGTTCCCGAGCGCAGCCACAGCTGCAGCTCACCGCTCCCCCAGGGGATGGGTCAGATGTGGAGATTAATTTCACCCGTGTGTGATGAATTAATGGGACTTTAAAACTTTTGGTATTTTCTGCCCGTGTAAAGGTCTGGATCCCCCTGCTGTAGTGCTGATGTTCTTGTGTGCTCCACAAGTCATTAGTGATCCAATAGGAAATCAGAGACAGGGTTTCCCTCTCAGGGCCTCATGAAAAAGACCTGCTCTGATCGGCAACATTGCGCGTGTGTGTGTGTGTGTGTGTGTGTGTGTGTGTGAGAGAGATCACAAAGCCTCTTGCTCACAGGGCTTTGCACCATGCTTTATCTGCCCCTCACACACACACACACACACACAAAACCTCATAGACCAACAGAGTTCATCAGTGGTTATTTTTAGCCTGTTTTCTGAGAAGAGGTCCTACTCGTTGACAACAGGACTATTGTGTCGCTCTCTCTCTCACATGCACACACACACACACACACACACACAACTCTGTTTCTGTCTCCTGACTCTAACTTGTTGTGTGTTGCAGCCAGACTCTCCAGAAGGAAGACACACAGGTGGATTGTGGTAAATACAGTTGACTCATTTTTATGCTTAATCGTTGATCAGGTGGAGCCTGATTGTGTTTCCTCCTGATGCTACGAAGCATGGCAGAGTTTGCTGGCATGATAATCATCTTTGGTTCATTCTGATCGAGATCATTTTGATTTTCAAAGCCTGACAGATCGACGTCACTCTGTCACTTAACATTCATAAACTCATTCATCTTGACTTATGACGGGGAAGGCTGTTGTTGGTTTAGCGTGCGGTAAACCGCTGAGAGCATCTCTGCTAGCAGAAGCTAACCATTAGCGTTAGCAACTCCACCACACAGCAGAACTCCTCCAGGCTTGTGTTATTTGTGGAGATAAAACATCAACGTTGCAGAGCAACCAGTCAGTGGTAGAGTTGTGTTGCTGTTAGCCAATCAGAGGAGAGATGTCCAAATATCAGGACATAAGACTCCAGATCCTGTAGTCTGAAGTTGTCCTCTGATCTGGCATTCTGCTAGTTCCTGAAACTGGTGCACCAGGGCTTTTTCTGCCCAGCGTACAACTTACAAGGCGTTTATTTCTACTGTAGACTGCAAATGTATTGATTGAACGAGTGTCCCACATTTTTTACTTTCTTACCATTGAGAACTTCTTAGCATTAAAATTAAACCTGTTAATGTAGCGGAGTGTGTTTGTGCATGTGCGCACATTCACTAGTGAACTACAGAATGTGTGTCAAGGTGAAACTAAGCTGATAAGAGCCCCCCCACCCCCCATCCCCATCCCTCCAGGGGGAGGCACCACTCAGGGACAGACGGAAGGAGCAGCGAGGGATCGGCTATCCAGGAGAAATGTTTCGCTCCTCGCTTCCTTCAGATCCCCCCGGACCTCACAGTCGAGGAGGGACGATTCTGCAGGATTGACTTCAAGGTCACACACCCACTCTCCTTGTTGTTGATGCTCCTACCAGTTAAGAGTCATAACCGTTGAGTTCTCTCCCACCGCTGCAGGTTAGCGGTCTCCCAGCTCCAGACATCTCCTGGTTCCTGGATGGGAAAGCCATTCGTCCAGATGACTACCACAAGATGTTGGTGTGCGAGAAAGGAATGCACTCCTTCATCATAGAGATTGTCACGGTGCATCATGCTGGTGTGTACGAGTGTGTGGCCAGGAATCGCGGTGGGGAGAGCAGGTTCACCATGAGACTCGAAGTTTTAGGTAAACATCTGAAGGTCCGTTAGGATCAGAGCATCTAGAATATTAAAATCAGCGTTTGACTCTTACCTATCTACAGCTCAGGAAGCTCTCCGTCCTCCCACCTTCATCCAGAAGATGTTGAACACCAGAGCTCTAGAGGGGGACACCGTGAGGTTGGAGTGCAAGGTGGATGCATCGCCTCCCCCTCAGCTCTTCTGGAAGAAAGATAAAGACATGCTGCGGATCGACCCCAACAGGATGAGGTGCTCCTTCACATGTGTGAGGCTGAACTGTCTCACTGCCACTGTTGGGGATGCCAGAGCAGCTTCTCCTACAGATGCAGCCTAGTGAGGCCCAGGCCTTAGTTCAAAACACATCAAACATCACTTTTCTATGTGATTGAATACAACCTAGAAGTAAAGCCATTAGAGCCAGTCACCATCAGTGTTTAAAAGTGGATCCGTGACTATGTCATGGTCTAAAAGGTTCATTTGGTTTTTAAGGATAAGAAGCTAAACAAACTGTCTAGGAGGTGTTTGGTCTAATCATCATGAAACTTTCTAAAATAACCCTGTTGTGTTTTCCGGTGCCGCTCCAGCCTGTACCAGGACGGCTCAGGTCGACAGTGCCTTCTGATTGAGAGGCTGATGAAGTCCGATGCTGGTTGGTACACGCTGTCCGCCATCAACGAAGCCGGCATGTCCACGTGCAACGCCAGGCTGGATGTTGGCAGTAAGTGTTCCCCTCTCCTCGCTTATGTTCCGGAGTGCTGGTTACCATGGAGACTCGGGCAGCTGGAGAACGCTGTGAGCACACCACCACCATGAATCCTGCCATGTCCAGTTTACACGATGAGGAGGAAACGATAAACACCCCCAGGTGGTTGGTTTACAGAGATACCTGGAGCCTGGATGGGTGAAAGTACAGCATAGCTATTGGGTTTCTGCTTCATCACCACATCTGGTCCCTGTTCCACAGAGAGAGAGACCCCTACTCGCCTCGTAGTTTCATGTCACGACTCGGTGGCACACTGGAACCATTACTAAACAGCTGGTTCCAATAGAAGAAGTTCCCTCTGAGTAGAGTTGATTTATTAAACCAGAGGAGGTCTGCTGCTCAGCCTTACTAATTTCTTTTTAAACGCCCACATTTAATACTAGCTGCATCATTTCACATCCAGGAGATGTTTCTGTGATCCATCCTAAGGGCCCATTGTCCTATAAGCTCAAACCCATCTGTCCTCTTCTGGGGCCCACAGGACAGACGGGTTATTTTCAGACGTGTCACGGGAGAAATGTTGAACCAACTTTAAGGCTGTCTTTAGTAGCCAAGTGCAGACAATCAAGTGTGTAGTTTGTGATTGATTATTATTAGTGGAGTTCATCCTTGTCTGTCTGCCCCCCCCAGCTCCAGCTATGAAGACGGCCCCACCCGCATCCAAGACCTTGAAGCTGCTGTCGTCTCTGTCCCACGTCCCTGCCCTGACGGAGGAGAGCCCGGCCCAGCACACGGCCCCGCTGTACGAGAGTGAGGAGCTGTAATGGAACCGTGGTACTGCGGGTCCATGACAGACGAGGACTTCACTAAAGCTTCAATCTCTGCACAAAACAGAGCAGCTCTGCCAAAGATGACCTGTGATATTAGGATGTATCACTAACGGGATGTGGAGACATGTTGATGCTGCGGTTCATCTCCACTGTGTTCTGCTCTATCTCTAGGTCTCTGCTGTGAGTGATGTAGAGATAGCTCCAGCTCTTCTCAAACATAAACCTCCCCTGTAGACCACTGTTGCGTGTTTAAGTGAAAACTGAACCTAGATTTGGTCCTTTCCTGCTCTTGAACCAGTCCTGCATGCTCTGGAGTAGTCCTCCCATGCCCCCCCCCCCCCCCCCCCCTCCCCACCCACACACACACACCCCGCGTCTGTATTTTCCAAGAACAAGAAGTTAGCTGCTCTGCTAAAGTTAGGAGTGTATGAAACATTTTATTTATAGTTATCAGTGTCAAGCCCTGCAGCGAGCTGCTGCTAGAAGACTGATGCTGGACCTGCTCTCGGAGCAAACATCTACATTGCTGAAACATCTGAACCTAAGAAGAATCACCACATCCCTGTTGCACTGCCCGTTTTTGGTTACAGGCATCTGTTTGTCAGGCTAAAGGCTAATTATTTAAAGATTTGTGACAATTTCTTATATTGAAGTGCTTATTGCCAGCCAGGAGCTACTTTCACTAATAAACCTTTGTTTTTACCTGGATCTGGTGTTCACTCTGCTCTTCCTTTATTAAACTTTACACGAGGATCTCGAGAGGTGAAGTGGTTTTATGGGTCAGAAAGTGGATGAAGTGCCGTTTGCATCAGACTGGTTTGGAAATATGAGATTTTAAATGACAAGCAGAAACGTGTGTGAAAGTGCTGTTTGTTGTGCAAGAAGTTCTAGATATATCAGTGGATGAATCAGAAATAAAGTGAAACCCTGACGTTGTGTCCTTGTTTTCTTGTGGTCGACTCAAGACGTGACCCCACACCACCACCATCAGAAACCAAGGAGCGGTTTCAGGGCACGGACTAGTTACGAGCTGGCTGATGTGGGACCAGCTAAAGAAAAGAGTACTCATGTTAAGCAACATACAAACGTTTCAAATTAAATTTTATGAACATAATTTAAAAAACAATATATAATGTTTGGGTTGACTGTTCTACTCCACTATTATATTGATACTGTGTAAATCTGAGAAAAAATTAAAATAATTTTGAAAGAACTTGATATATTTTATGAACGTGGAAATTATATCTAAAAACATATAATTGTTTTCGCCACACTTCTTTCCGTTTTAACCCTTTACACTTTTACTTTCTTTGATTATCTAGCCAGCTAATGCAGCTTTTATTTTTGGATAATAAGTACAGAATTGTGCTTTGCTGATGCCTGGCTCAGCAGCGTTCAGCAGCAGACACTAGCGGCAGTTCTGAACAAGAAGTGGATGCAGTTAGCTAGCGAAAGTCGTTCTGCTGGCTAACCATTTAGCGGAAGTAGGTCACAGTGTTATTACAATCATGGACGACGAGGCTATTTTAATAAATTCATAATATGAACACGTTTCGCCAGTTCAGAGTTACAACACTCAAAGAAGCAGAGTCAGAGCGGTGAGTCCAGCAGCATTGCTAGCTAAACAGGAAGGACCCGGTGTGAGTTCCCTTGTCTGCAGCCAGCGTTGCGGTAGAGTAGACGGTATCGTGACTTTCTCTTCTTTCACACTTTCTACCTGCTTAATTATTCTGTTTTAAAAGCTCACCTGGAATCATTGAGGGTGTAAACGAGTTAAGATTTGGACATTACACTGGGCTCATAGGCTGGTGTTGGTCCTAGCACGTTATTGAAAGCTAGTAATTTAGTAAATGATCAATACTTAGTAAATTATCAATACTGTGGCACTTTTTGTTCTGCAAAATGAAGAGGAATTCAAATGATAAATAAATAAATAAATAAATATTAAAGAGTAGACGAAATCATCTCACAGATGCGCAGTAACCCACTGCGCATCCTGCATCAATCACAACGAAGACGTACCACTTCGTGATGTCACAAAGCTCAGTTTGATGACAGGAGGTCAGTCAGTTCATTGCTCCAGAAGGTAAGGGTGTGTAAAGTCGGATCACATTGTGCGATTTTCGGCCGTCTTAGCCAGATGCCTCGTCGGGAGCATAAACGTGTAGAAAAACAGTGAAGGAGGGTGATTAGCTAATTTGAGATGTTCAGTCTGACCGGATCAGCAATAGCTTTATGAGCGTTCCATGACCAAAGTTTGATGTCTCTAGAAGATTGTATAAATATGTTAGTTTCACTTTTATTTATGTAATTTAACTAGTTTTATGTAGGTAATCATTTCTTTGTGAACATTTTCTGTCTTTCGCAGGTAACATGTCTAATATCTGATACAGCTGAATTTGCAGATAAGTATGCATTTATCTAGTCTGTCTTTCACTGAATTGCAGGTAAACCTACTAATATTGGGCCTCATTTCCTCATATTTGCAGGTAAGTATTCATTTATCTAGCCTGTCTTTCTCTAAATTGCAGGTAAGTATTCATTTATCTAGTCTGTCTTTCTCTAAATTGCAGGTAAACTAATAGTGTCCCTTTGTTTTTAGGAATTCTTTTCTTGGCAATGCATTAAACCGAGAGGAGTAAGTGGGATTTCTTTGCTTCAGGATTAATGTTTGTGATGTTTGTGATTTCTTCTCTAATTTGCACGTAAGTACGCATTTATTTAGTATTTTCTTCTCTAATTTGCAGGTAAGTACACATTTATTTAGGATTTTCTTCTCTAATTTGCAGATAAGTATTCATTTATCTGGTATTTCTTTTCTCTATTTTGCAGATAAACTTAATATTGGACCTCATTTCTTCATATAGTTCAGAAAAGTATTCGTTTATCTAGTATTTTCTTCTCTAATTTGCAGGTAAGTACGCATTTATCATTTTTTTTTCTGTAATTTGCAGGTAAACCTAATATTGGACCTCATTTCCTCTTTTTCAGGTAAGTATTCATTTATTTAGTATTTTCTTCTCTAATTTGCAGGTAAGTACGCATTTATCTGATATTTCTTTCTATTTTTGCAGGTAAGCCTACTAATATTGGACCTCATTTCCTCATATTTGCAGGTAAACTTACTAATAGTGTCCCTTTGTTTTTAGGAGTTATTTTCTTGGCAATGCATTAAACCGAGAGGAGTAAGTGGGATTTCTTTGCTTCAGGATTAATGTTTGTGATGTAACCAAGGAGTGAGGAGGAGACGGGGTAGGTACAGTCCAGAAAGAAATGGTACAGTCCAAACAAAGGGTACAGTCCAGACAGAAATGGTACAGTCCAGAAAGAAAAGGTACAGTCCAAACAAAGGGTACATTCTAAACTTTAATGACGCCATCAGTCTACCAATTTGCAGGTACGTAAATTTTTTCTAGTGTTCTCTTTAATTTGCAGGTAAATACACATGTATCTAGTATTTTCTTCTCTAATTCGCAGGTAAGCACGCATTTATCTAATATTTTGTCCTCTAATTTGCAGGTAAGTACGTTTTTTTCCAGTATTTTCATCTCTAATTTGCAGGTAAGAACGCATTGGTCAAGTATTTTCTACTCTAATTTGCAGGTAGATACGCATTTATCCAGTATTCTCTTCTCTACTTTGCAGGTAAAGATGCATGTATCTAGTATTTTCTTCTGTACTTTTTAAGTAAGTACACATTTACTTGGTCTTTTCTTCTCTAATTTGCAGGTAAGTACGCATTTATCTAATATTGTCTTCTCTACTTTTCAGGTAAATACGTTTTTTTCTAGTATTTTCATGTCTAATTTGCAGGTAAGTACGCATTTATTTAATATTGTCTACTCTACTTTGCAGTTAAAGACGCACTTATCTAGTATTTTCTTCTCTACTTTGCTGGTAAGTACACATTTACCTAGTCTTTTCATCTCTAATTTGCAGGTAAGTACGCATTTATCTAGTATTCTCTTCTCTAATTTGCAGGTAAATATGCATTTATCTAATATTGTCTTCTCTACTTTTCAGGTGAAGACACATGTATCTAGTTTTTTCTCCTCTACTTTGCAAGTAAGTATGCATTTATCTAGTCTTTTCTTCTCTAATTTGGCGGTAAATACGCATTTACCTAATATTGTCTTCTCTGCTTTGCAATTAAGTAGGCATGTATCTGGTATTTTCTTCTCTACTTTGCAGGTAAGCACGCATTTATCTAATATTTTCTCCTCTAATTTGCAGGTAAATATGCATTGATCTAGTCTTTTCTACTCTAATTTGCAGGTAAGCATGCATTTATCTAATATTTTCTCCTCTAATTTAAAGGTAAAGACGTTTTTTCTAGTATTTTCATCTCTAATTTGCAGGTAAGTACGCATTTATTTAATATTGTCTACTCTACTTTGCAGGTAAAGACGCACTTATCTAGTATTTTCTTCTCTACTTTGCTGGTAAGTACACATTTACTTAGTCTTTTCACCTCTAATTTGCAGGTAAGTACGCATTTATCTAGTATTGTCTTCTCTGCTTTGCTGTTAAGTACACATGTATCTGGTATTTTCTTCTCTACTTTGCAGGTAAGTACGCATTTATCTAGTATTCTCTTCTCTAATTTGCAGGTAAATATGCATTTATCTAATATTGTCTTCTCTACTTTGCAGGTGAAGACACATGTATCTAGTATTTTCTTTTCTACTTTGCAGGTAAATATGCATTGATCTAGTCTTTTCTACTCTAATTTGCAGGTAAGCATGCATTTATCTAATATTTTCTCCTCTAATTTAAAGGTAAAGACGTTTTTTCTTGTATTTTCATCTCTAATTTGCAGGTAAGAATGCATTGATCAAGTATTTTCTACTTTAATTATCAGGTAAATATGCATTTATCTAGTATTCTCTTCTCTAATTTGTAGGTAAATAGGCATTTATCTGATATTGCCGTCTCTACTTTGCAGGTAAAGACGCATGTATCTAGTATTTTCTTCTCTACTTTGCGGGAAAGGACACATTTACCTAGTCTTTTCTTCTCTAATTTGCAGGTAAGTACGAATTTATCTAATATTGTCTACTCTACTTTGCAGGTAAAGACGCACTTATCTAGTATTCTCTTCTCTAATTTGCAGGTAAATATGCATTTATCTAGTCTTTTCATCTCTACTTTGCAGGTAAGTACACATTTATCTAGTATTGTCTTCTCTTCTTTGCAGTTAAGTACACATGTATCTGGTATTTTCTTCTCTACTTTGCAGGTAAGTACGCATTTATCTAGTATTCTCTTCTCTAATTTGCAGGTAAAAATGCATTTATCTAGTCTTTTCATCTCTAATTTGCAGGTAAGTACGCATTTATCTA